TTTTATTTAGAGTTATTAATTTATTTGCGAAAATGATTTACATTTGAAGTGTTGAGTAATTATTTTCGGTGGCATATAGTTTTTTATTGGATTGGGTTGGGGGTGGAAAGAGAAAGAAGGAAGAGGGAAGAGTTAAAAAATGAAATTGTTTGGATGGAAGAAAGTGAATAGATTTCTTTAGAAAATGAGATGATGTGATTGAAAAAATGTAAAAGCTACAAAAAAAGTTTTTGGGAAAATTTTATTAAAAATATCCATAAACTAAATTTGAATAGTTATTTTAAAACAGAAGAAAAAACCAATTAATGCCGTAGCAAAATCAAATCTGTTTATGCATGAACCAAACTCATGTCAGCAACATTTTTTGCAATGTAACTGGATGAGGTGTCCACTCCACTGATTTTGCATGCAACCTCAAGGGTTGATTGATATAATTTATTATCATTTGTATTTTGGTTGCACGTTTTGGCGTTGCTATAATTATTGTATGAAAACCAAATTAAGTGTGGTTTAAATGATAAATTGAATGATTGAATGGTGGGAACTCAACCAAACTTTTGAGGATTAATACCCAATTCAAAGACAAATGTGTAACTGTATCTCCATCAGCTCAATTCTCTTCATGGGTGGAGGCAAAAGAACACAGCTTATTGATGACGCTTTTGAAGGTATGTATGTATTATCAACTGAACAATAAGAGTAGTTCACTTTAAATTTGAGTTTTTGCAGATGCAATTTTGGTAGGGGGGATTTTGTCTATAGAGTAAATTTGTAATATGCGCGACAAATTAGTAAATTAATCAAAATTAAAAAAGAATATATGTAAGTAAAAAGGAGAAATGCCGAGCTACATGTTTCTCTAAGTTTAGGTATTAAAAATCAATAATTTTCAACTATAGAGATTAATGAAATTGTAATACAAAATATGCAAGTTGAATGACTCTAATCAAGAAAAATATAAAGAGTTGCTCGTGATCACAAAGCACCTAAGTTATTGAGAGTTTTAATTTAGTTTTTTATTTGCTTATATTACGTTGGGTTATATTCCATGATATGAATCTGTCAAAAAAAATGTCATCTTAAATAGTTTTCAAGAGTTGGTGTATTACCCAGTTGCATGACCTGGGGTGATGTATGTAACAGACCTTGCTTAATAACACCCTAACTGATATTTTGAATTTGTTTTTTTTTATGAAGGATTTCGATGAATGACAGCTGATTGAGTGAACTTGTGAAATTTCGTACAGCTATACATTTATAAATAGTATTTATATATTTTTTAGCAGGACTTTACTTTGCAAGTAGTACGAGTTCATTAGGCTTATTTCAGTAGACAGGCTTGGCTAGCGTTGTTTCCGGCATGTAGGCCCAAAAGGCTTATAAATGTGTGGTGTCATAGAACATGGACTGTCGGAAACACTAACTCCAAGTTACTTGTTTTTGAAGAGTGATGATGAGGGTGATAGGTTGCAGGTTATAGTTACAACTAACCAGGCCTACTATGGCTTACCAAGACACATTTTCCATATTATCCATCATGAATGTGATAGCTTTTGGGTTTATGATGAAGGGGAGTGGAATGTGCAAAAGTTTGGTGCCCCATCTTACGAGTCTACTACTCTGCTTCACACAAAATCGACTTTAAGGAATGCTTCCCAAACAGTTCTTCTCAAAGTTTTTACTCTTACTACCACCACTTAAAAACTCAAGACATGCATTCTGTGTCTTTGTCACAGGTACGCGATTTTATTGACCAATGAAATATGTTGATAAAACAGATATTATATATGAATTTTAAAATTTTAATTATCGGTAAAATTAAAAATAGAATAATTGATCGTCATTTAATTATAATTTTTATCATTGATATTTATCAAAATTGTTTGTAATTTATAATATATATTATTGATGAAATTTCTGTCAAAAAAATAAATTTTATTGGTAAAATAGATATTAAAGTTCTTGTTTTTAGTTTCGGTTATATTGTAATAAAATCGGTTGATTATAGATTTTTCTTAAAATTTGTCGATAAATTCATTAGTATTTTTTTTTAATTTGTTGGTAAATTTATTGATAGTTGATTTTTTTAATAATTCATCAATAAATCAATCAACAAATGTACTTTTTTTAAAATCAATTAGTAATGTAATAGCGGTGCAACAAAATGATTAGTTTGTTAACAATAAACTAAGATAAGAGGGGTGAATTTATTTCTTTTTATAAATGTATCTTTTAAAATAAGGAAAAAGAAAAGAAAGGAATAAAAAGAAAACAAAAAGAGGATAAGGAGGAAGTTAAGAGATGTTTTCCCATAGATTTTTATTGATGATTTTTTATGATTTTGATTATTGATAATTCAATTAAATCTGTTTATTTATGTGTAAAATTTATTAACAAACATTTTATGGACAATTTTTTTATCATAGGTAAATTGTTAGTGATTTTAATTTATTGAGGAATTTTGATGATTACCAATAAATTTTGACAAATTTCATTACTTATCAAGAGTTAAGATTGTCTATGGTAAGCTTTTCTCATACTATATTGTATATGAAGGGTTATTATTTTATTAATTTTATTTTCAAAATATTTATTTCTCAATGAATTATTCAATTCAAATTTATTTTTTATATTCAGTATCCTTCAAATTTAACATTATATAAATATAAATGTGGATGGAAAAAATGTAATTGGGAGAAAGAGTGGTTCGAAATCTCACATTAAGTATAGAGATAAAGGAAATTTACATTATATAAGTGAAAATAAATCCTTTCTTAAAAGTAAATATTGAAAAGTTAAGTTAGGTTTAAAGTTAATTTTCTAAATATGTTATATCTCAGTTATCCGAAACCTATTTTAATAAAAGTTATTTTTTTTAGACTTATTGATGTGAATGATCTTTAAAAATCCGTTTTTTAAAATTAAATTAGATTTAAAATTCATATCTTAAATCTTAAAATGATATGGATTAAAGTCTTTTATAAAAAAAATTGTTTGTTACACCTATTAACAGAAAATGTGTGTTAAAACTTAGTATAGATAAACAAATTTACAATATATAAAGTAGTCGTAAATCTCGTATATTGGTTTTCTAAAATTGATTTTCTTAAAAGTGATCTCTTGTAACAAAATTACACTATATATTTCATAAAAAATGCAAATCTTCTGTGTGCATGAATCAAAATGAAAAACTAGAGCCAGTTATCTTTCAAGTTTTCCTAACCAGAGTGAGCGAATTTTTTACATGATCGTAATGAAGTAAAGAATAACAATGTATATGTCCTCGTCACAGCAGCTGAAGTGGCTGCATTAGACTTTCCCGAGAGGCTCTGATCAGATAAAATTATTCTTAGATGAGGAACTTTTTACAAAATGAAAAATTGTGAGTGTGTGCGAGAGAATATACCATGCTAAAGTAAACAGAATTAGAAGAACTAACTCCATATACACAGTGTTACACATTTCAATCACGCCTTGCAACAGAAACGAAAACTCTGCTAACATGCATGGGGAAGCAACCAAAGGTCAAAGGCTTTCCATACACTTCTTTCATATTAGTCGTAGTAGGACTCTTCACGAATGACACAGACGACCAAGAAGAGAAACTCGAGCCACGCGAGGATGCCACAGACTCAGAATCGGAGCTGCAATCGAATCTTGCAAACATGTCCAAACCGATAACATCTTCTTCGTGGAAACAATCTTGGGATGACATTTTGCTTTTTCCATGCTTCTTAACCCTTTTCTTCCAAAACCTTAGCCTTGACGGTGATGAAGATTTGGAGTCTGGAACGCATGGTTTGGGTAGCCCCAGGCTGAGAAGTGCTGGTGGGGGACTCAGCGGAGGAAGATCATCTTTTGGTCGTTCCTTTGCAACCCCTGGTTGCATTTCCCATTTGAATGGAACCCCTTCCCCACTCCTATAGTAAGAGTTACGAGAGGAGCACCCCAGAGAGGATCTCCTTGAAAGAATTTTGCCCAATGACATCTTCTCATACTCAAAATCCATCATAACTTTTCCAATAAACAAAGTTAGACCTTGTTGTGTTTATATAGGATGAAGTGTGGAGTGTTCGGTATACTATTGTTTATATACGTAAACACTGTTTTTGACCATACAGACAGACACTCATAATTAATCCTTTTGTTAATTAGATTGATTGGTCGTAGGTTGTTACTTCTAGTTTGAGTGACTCAAAGCCTTTTTGTATTGACAAGGAAACAAATAGTGAAGCAAAAGATGGGTATGCAGTTACTGTCGTTGTTTCTAAGGCTGCTGCAAACCAATTATTATTGTAAGTTGGCCGGCCACTGTTGCATGTGCCATGACCATACTGTAGGACTTAGTCACCATCTTAGCTTCTGAGACTACTTTTGCAGCATTTTTATATGAATTAGGGTTTTCGATCACTCAGATTATTATATTTGCTTTGTGTTATATGTGAGGCACATGTCAGGGTTGCAGTTGAAAGTAAGCCTAGACTTTTTCTGCTTGAATTAAGTAAAACGATATATTAATATGTCTGACAACTAAGGGCCATCAACTTATCTTCTCAATTGCTAAGAAAGCAAAGTCCATTACTTGGAAATTACCTAAGGTTTCATTCATTGAATTTGAACCAATGCAGAGATGCCACTAGCTAGCTACTATTTCATTATTATGAGAATGAAGAGGACTTTTGACAATAAGTTATTTTAATTGTCTGCCATATACCCTCTAGTTTTATAATTATAACTTCTTAAAGAGTATGATTTGGAACTGTTAACCCAACTGTGGAAGATCATTTGGCCCAGCAGTTCAAATATTATTCTATGTATATGCATGACTTAGGAGACAAGGTCACGTTTTGTTCACACCGACTTCATCAAAATTCTTTCGTTACTGAGCTTCACTGTTATGAATTATACTGAGAACTATTATATGTTAATAATTTTTTTAATAAATTTTTCACCATAAACTATATCTCACTATTTTATTGGTTCCTAATCAATCACAACATATATTGTAAAAAAATTATCGAAAAGAATTGTTAAAAAAATATTTTTGTTGTAGCTTGTATATCCACAATGACCACACCCTTTTACTTGGTCCAGCTCTGTAGTCCAGCTGAATGGTAAAGTTTCTAAATTTACCCAAACAACATCTTTCTTGTACTGGGTTTGGTTTCTTTTAATATTATATTTCTTTTTGACAATGCATTGGATATGGATGTATCATTGTATAGAATACGACGTTTACATGTTTTCTAATCCTAAAAC